CAGTTGGCACAGGCCGGGCTCCCTTCATGACCCGGGCGAGGCTCAGCTTCGCATGTTGGACTTACCCTTATCCTGACGTAAACATCAACAGGAAATTATTTTACTATAATTGTATACAAAAATTTCTGCACAAAAGTATTAAGAAGATATTGTAAACTCTAGAAAAAACAACGTAAACTGTGATTAGTTAGGCTAATTGATCAGCTGATTGTTACACAGAGGCGTCAAAGGAGGAGAACTGTTTTTGATATAATACTGTTTTGTTCAAAGCTTACGTAACACTTTTTTCTTTTTTTTTCTGTCATTCCATCGACCTTTTGGAACCGAAGGGTGTAGCAACACTGCATCCGCTCCTGTTCTGATTTCCAGTATTGTTGGACCGACGGCTAGGCGGTTCTACATGAGCTTAGTCCCCAAGGAGTCAATTATTAGTCCTACCTATCTTACCTACTTTCCCTTTCCTTTGACTTTTTAAAGATCTTCATTGTTATTATTATTCTAATAACATTCTTCCAAACATACTGTCAATATTAATAACAGTATTGATATCTCGAGAATATGTAAAGCAGGTTGAGTTATATCATAATTGAAATTACTTTCATCATCCTTATCCTCACTATCACAATCATTATCCTCACTACCACAATAATTTTCATCATTACCATCATTATCAATTATTATTATTATAATTAACATCACTATTACGATTATTAATATAATTGCTTTCATTATCAATATTATTACCATTATCATCACTATCATCATTACCATTATCATCACTATAACCTTCACCATCAACAAAACCTTCATCATCTTACGAAATGGAAACGTGAGGGTATTCCAGACTGGGAAGCCTTTAAATAATAGGAATTTCTAATTGCTTTTCTGGGAATGCGGGAACGTAAGCTTAATCATCATCATCATCATCATCAATAACACTAATTTCCCCTCCTTTTCTCACAGAATGGCGAGAGCATGTGTGCGGTCCCTGGCACTGCTTAGTCTGCTGGTTTTGGCAGACTCGGCGCTTGGCATGTACAACCTATCCCCACCGACGGAGGTGATGACAGCTTCTGGAAGGATCGTGGGAACTCTGGAGAAGTCGACGAAGGGCAAGACATTTATTAGTTTCCATGGGATACCGTATGCCCAGCCTCCTGTAGGACCCCTTCGTCTTCGGGTATGAATATTGGATATTATGTATATATATATATATATATATATATATATATATATATATATATATATATATATATTATATATATATATATATATATATATATATATATATATATATATATATATATATTATATATATATATATATATATATATATATATATATATATATATATATATATATATATATATATATATATATATATATATATATATATATATATATATATATATATATATATATATATATATATATATATATATATATATATATATATATATATATATATATATATATATATATATATATATATATATATATATATATATATATATATATATATATACATATATACATATATATATATTCTGTTCGCCTTCGTCTTCTTTCGTTTCCTGTCTCCTTTCTGCCTTTCCTCCTCGTATCCGCTGTTTACGTTTCCTTTTCCCTTTTTTCCCCTATTCTCGCCTTCTCCTAACTTACCTCCAACCCCTTCTTTCCACCTATCCTAACTTCCTTCCCTCTCCCTTCCCTCCTCCCATCACTTCCCCTTTGCCTCCTCCCGCAGGATCCAGTCAAAGCAACTCCCTGGGACGGCGTGAGGAACGGGACCATACCGCCGCCTCCTTGCCTCCAGGTCCCCTTCTCGCTGGCGGTGATGGGGGTCAAATTGCCTGCCGGTCAGCTCGTGGGTTCTGAGGACTGCCTCTTCCTCAATGTGTTTACACCAAGGGTAGGTGTGGCGGCGGATACGCCATTTTCTTTTATATAATCAGGTGTATGGTGTGTGCGTACAGCTACACACAAAACAATCGTAAGAGGGGTGTCGATACATTCAAATAACGTAAAAAAAACTAATGTTACGGAAGGGTTGGTATTTTGGGATTCGAATTTGTCTCGTTCTGATTCATGCCGTTCCGAAATTCATAAGGATTCACTGTGAGAGGATTTTATTCCTGCAAGGGATGGAATATGCCTTGTAATATTAAGAAAAGCCACGCATAGCCCTAAGTACTTGCAAAATCAGGGATACCAACAGTTTCGTAGCGTTAACTATATTTCGTAAAAGTACCGTTGTTTTTATTAAAAGGTTTAGCATGATTTCCTGACGATATTTTTTGTGTAGTTATATGCGTAGATAGATACTGTAAGTAGATAGATACTGAAAGTAATTAGATAGGTAGGAAAATAATGTAAATAGTTTATTATTGATATAAATATGTTCAATTTTACCACAGTGACTTACATAGCACCTCACATTTATTCTTTTCATTTGTAACAGTTAATACTTTATCTCCCTATTACTATATTTATCACTCTATCTCTTTTCCTCTTCATCCCAGACGTTCGGAATGAAAGGATTGCCTGTAATGGTGTTCTTCCACGGCGGCGCCTTCTTTGCTGGTGGAGCCTCAGAGTACAAGCCATACGCCCTTCTCAACCACGACGTTGTCTTGGTGGTTGTGCAGTACAGACTCGGCGTCTTAGGTGCGTGTGGGAAGGAGATTGGGAGTTTGAATTAGGGTTGTTTTTATTATTTTCATTATTATTGTTATTTGGGTGTAGACTGATAAATAGATAGAAAGAGATTCATATATTTATCTGGCACACACACACACACACACACACACACACACACACACACACACACACACACACACACACACACACACACACACACACACACACACACACACATGCTTACACTAATTGGGGTATGGCCTAACCACCCGTTTTTTCCTTCTTCACTGATAACAACCAACAGGCTTCCTTTCGACCGAGGATGACGTGCTGCCTGGTAACTACGGCTTGAAGGACCAGACATTGGCCCTCCAATGGGTGCAGGAGAACATCAGGAACTTCGGTGGCGATCCCAAGCGGGTTACCATCTTCGGCCAGAGCGCGGGCGGGACCTTTGTTCATTACCATATCATGTCGCCCAAATCTGAAGGTGAGTTTCTGTTGTATGAAGTAGGTGATAATTGGTAATTTTTTTATAACTTTTCTTTTTCTTATGACGTTCTGAGTTATGTTTACTAATTGCATATACCGTTCTTTAAAACTTTGGAATAGACAATTACTTAATTGGTGATATTACCTTCATTGTTACCTTGTATTATATCATATACTTATGGAAATACACGCAAAAAAAAAAAAAAAAAATCATACATGCAAAAAACACCCTCCCCTCACCCTAAAGGGCTCTTCCAACGAGCCATCATGCAGTCGGGCACTTCAGTCAACCCCTTTTCCGTGGCCGTCGGTCTCCGGCAGGCAACACTCACCTTAGGGGCGTCTCTCGGGTGCCAAGGCGATGCTGGGAGTGAAGAATTCCTTCGGTGTCTTCAAAGGACCGATGCTCAAGATCTGGCAGCTGGATTCCAAAATTTCTTCGTAAGTTTTGTTTTGTTTTTTAATTGTTTTTTTCTGTTAGGACATATTGGTATTAAAAAATGAGACTGTAATACATTTACTTATTTGGGATTTATAATGGTTAAATGGCGTTATAAGGTAATAATGGCTACAATGAGATAGATTAGATAACCTTTCTTCATCTATGTACGTATTGCATGCAAACTCGTAAAACATCATGTTGGCATTTGGACATTTTCCATAAAATGACACGCTGATTCATAGGTTACAGGGGAAATTATAAACAGAACCAGTTTTATGACCAATAGAGTTCGTTCTAACTTTCTTAAAATCCCCCAAACGTATTCAATGTCCTCTTTGAAATCACCCTTCTCCATATCTTTCCCAGGCCTGGTTCCTCAGCCCTTTGTTCTTCTTGCCTCGCGTCGATGGTGACTTCATGCCCGAAGACCCTAACGTGCTGCTGCGGGAGGGGAGGCACCAGCATGTCGACCTCATGTCGGGGGTGACGGCACACGAAGGGGCGTTCGGGACGAAGCGTAGGTGGCTGGGGTTTGGGGCGGCATTGGATGGTGGTGATGGTCGAGAAGTGATGTATATGAACTGTGGTGTGAGGGAGGGGGGGGGTGCGCAGACTGAGTACATCGATTACATTTATTTTATTATCCTTACCCTAACCACCACCAACTTTATCACCACCAGTACCACAAACATCATCTTACTACACCCTAAATACAAACACCATCCTTACCCAAATCTTCACCTCCACCACCACAACCTCAACCACCATCCTTTATCACTACCAATACCACAGCCCCCCCCCCCCCCCCCCCCCCCCCAACGCACAAACACACAACCTTCTCTTCCCAGCATCATCGACAAAAATCCTCATCAATATTCTCCTTTCTTCCCAACAGCTCTCTACTCTCGCCCTGAATTGGTAACCAGTCTCCTGGAAAACCCCAGCCTCCTGCCCCTGAGCGTCTTGTGTTGTGTAGGAGCGGAGGACCCAATGGCCACCACACTGAGGATCTATCAACACTACCTTGGCGGTCTGAATATTAACGATACAGAGAGAGTGACGGAGGTGAGATTTCTGGGAGAATTTTTTTTTTAGGGGGGGGTAGGGGAAGGGGTTCTTTTTAGATGTATATGTGTATATAGTTAGAGTTATGTGTTTTCTTTTATTCATCAATTTTTATTTATAAGTTAAGTGCTGAAGGTGGTAAGGATTCTATCAAGGCTTTCTTTGGTTCTCCCCCACTCTCTCTCTCTCTCTCTCTCTCTCTCTCTCTCTCTCTCTCTCTCTCTCTCTCTCTCTCTCTCTCTCTCTCTCTCTCTCTCTCTCTTATTACTTAGATTCTACACTCCCCGCACCCCTGCTTATATTGTATTCACATCATAATCTTATATCCATGAATTTCTCTTTCTCCACAGCCTAACTAATG